TAATTTGATTAGTTCACTTAGCTATAGTCACAAACATAACATGTAGATATCATAAACATAAAAAAACACACTTGTTACTATATGACACACTAGAAGAAAACAGAAGTCACTCATACAAACTAAGAGGCATACAAAGAGACATTTCACGACTGTCATAAACGTGTAATAAAAACACAGAATGTTTGATGAAAGAAGGAAGGGCTATAGTAACCAAAGACATTGGGATAATATGTTCTCCAGTCCTGTCTCTGAGGCCTCACCTCAAACTTCTGTCTGAGCTCCTCGTTCCCGTCATCCTCCTCTGAGATGGGCACATTGTAGTACTCGCCCTCCTCTTGGTTCAACATCTTGTACCTGAGAGGGGGGGGGGAGAGAGAGAAAGAGAGAGAGAGAGAGAGAGAAGAGAGAGAGAGAGAGAGAGAGAGAGAGAGAGAAGGGAGAGGAGATGAGGAGAGGGAGGAGAGATGAGAGAGAGGCGAGAGATGGAGGAGATTGAGAGGGAGGATGGGGAGAGGAGAGAGGAGAGGAGGATGGGAGAAGACGAGAGAGTATTTCAATTATGATTGTTTACAAAAACAACATTATAGATGTGAATCCAAGCACATGGACTTTCTGAGACCCAGCTTGCTATTTATAGTCCAGTAGATAAGTGTTAAAAGTAACAGCATGTTTCTAAGAGTCAGCATAAAAACATCTCAACAGCCTATAAAACTGAAAATCCCCAGACAGAGATGTTCTACCCGGAGACAAAAAGCTAGGTATGGAGCGGCCACTAATTTACGTCTCTGCATCCCTCCATCTCGCTCTACCTCCTGATTCATACCCACTTGGCCCAGACACATAGTTCATCACAACGCAATAGTCCCTTTGGCTCCAGTCCACTCGGACAGAATTATCCTTGTGTTGGCGGTGCTCATGAAACACATTACTATTTATGACCCACGGCTATTAAGGGCACTGAGCTGTAGATATAAAGTTCACTGTTGCTGTTGTGATTAATGATTGGTTTGTACCAGACTGAGATATAAGGGACTACAGCGCCAATAGGCTCTGTGACGGTGACAAACAATGATATGAAATGCAGGTAAGTTGAGAAGAAGGCACTTATATCCGAAAGATAATCTTGATTTATCACCGCTCTTTTCAAATAGAAATCCGATTACCCCCAAAATAATATCCGATTACAGCTGCGATTGCTTCAAAACGGTAAACCAGAATAAATTAAATGAAGTATACAGTATGTTTATTAGGATCCCTTCTTCACTATTAACTTAGTGACTGCTACTCTTCCTGCAGTCTACATAAAACACAATACAAAAAAACGATACACAAGTACAGTGCCCTCCGTAATTATTGGGACTGTGAAACATTTTTTACTATACTCCAAACGTTTGGATTTGAAATCAAACAATGACTATGAAGTTAAAGTGCAGACTGCCATTTTTAATTTGAGGGTATTTTCATCCATTTTTGAAATGTTCTTGTACATAGTGCCCCCATTTTAGGGGACTGAAAGTATTGGGACAAATTCACTTATATGTGTATTAAAGTAGCAAAAAGTTAAGTATTTGAGCTTGTGACTCTACAAATTTGTTGGATGCATTTTCTGTTTGTTTTGGTTGTGTTTCAGATTATTTTGTGCCCAATAGAAATGAATGGTATATAATGTAGTGTGTCATTTTGGGGTAACTTTTATTGTAAACAAGAATATAATATGTTTCTAAACACTTCTACATTAATGTGGATGCTACCATGATGACGAATAATCCTGAATGAATCGTGAATAATGATGAGTGAGAAAGTTACAGACGCACAAATATCATACCCCCAAAAGATGCTAACCTCTCATTACAATAACAGGTGAGATTAGCATCTTTTGGGGGGTATGATATGTTTAAATGATAATGCCAAAGAAGCCAGTGTTTGGAGGATATATTGGCACGGGTGTTGTTAGGCCCGACACAAACCGTGCCAATTTATCCTCCAAACACCGGCTTTGAGGGCATTATCACTTCTATACAACGGGTTACCAACATATTCAAGTATTTTTGTTCTGTATCTATGGACGCGACCCAGTCGTTCATTCTAAATGTTCCATTGCCATACTGGCTGGCAACGTTCTTATCCCATGCTTGCTAGCTAGTCAACTACGGCTAATTTACAGTCATGTCAAAAAGTGCAGCCAGAATAACAGCAAAGTAGCTGCATTTGCATTTGTTTAAGCTGTTTTCTAGTGACATTTATTTGGATACATCCATAACAAATGAGCTAATGAGGCGCGATTTCACCTGGCAAAGAAAATGTGCTCACTCGTCAGGACACTGTTGTTCAGAGGAGCTAGCCAACAACACAGCTACAGTAACACAATCACTTCAACCTAAAGCTGGAAAGACTGCAAATTAGCTGCGTTTCATTTTACCTTTTTTCAATTGACATTTTTTTGTACAGTGAGGGAAAAAAGTATTTGATCCCCTGCTGATTTTGTACGTTTGCCCACTGACAAAGAAATGATCAGTCTATCATTTTAATGGTAGGTTTATTTGAACAGTGAGAGACAGAATAACAACAACAAAAATCTAGAAAAACGCATGTCAAAAATGTTATAAATTGATTTGCATTTTAATGACGGAAATAAGTATTTGACCCCCTCTCAATCAGAAAGATTTCTGGCTCCCAGGTGTCTTTTATACAGGTAACGAGCTGAGATTAGGAGCACACTCTTAAAGGGAGTGCTCATAATCACAGCTTGTTACCTGTATAAAAGACACCTGTCCACAGAAGCAATCAATCAATCAGATTCCAAACTCTCCACCATGGCCAAGACCAAAGAGCTCTCCAAGGATGTCAGGGACAAGATTGTAGACCTACACAAGGCTGGAATGGGCTACAAGACCATCGCCAAGCAGCTTGGTGAGAAGGTGACAACAGTTGGTGCGATTATTCGCAAATGGAAGAAACACAAAATAACTGTCAATCTCCCTTGGCCTGGGGCTCCATGCAAGATCTCACCTCGTGGAGTTGCAATGATCATAAGAACGGTGAGGAATCAGCCCAGAACTACACGGGAGGATCTTGTCAATGATCTCAAGGCAGCTGGGACCATAGTCACCAAGAAAACAATTGGTAACACACTACGCCGTGAAGGACTGAAATCCTGCAGCGCCCGCAAGGTCCCCCTGCTCAAGAAAGCACATATACAGGCCCGTCTGAAGTTTGCCAATGAACATCTGAATGATTCAGAGGAGAACTGGGTGAAAGTGTTGTGGTCAGATGAGACCAAAATCGAGCTCTTTGGCATCAACTCAACTTGCCGTGTTTGGAGGAGGAGGAATGCTGCCTATGACCCCAAGAACAACATCCCCACCGTCAAACATGGAGGTGGAAACATTATGCTTTGGGGGTGTTTTTCTGCTAAGAGGACAGGACAACTTCACCGCATCAAAGGGACAATGGACGGGGCCATGTCCCGTCAAATCTTGGGTGAGAACCTCCTTCCCTCAGCCAGGGCATTGAAAATGGGTCGTGGATGGGTATTCCAGCATGACAATGACCCAAAACACATGGCCAAGGCAATAAAGGAGTGGCTCAAGAAGAAGCACATTAAGGTCCTGGAGTGGCCTAGCCAGTCTCCAGACCTTAATCCCATAGAAAATCTGTGGAGGGAGCTGAAGGTTCGAGTTGCCAAACGTCAGCCTCGAAACCTTAATGACTTGGAGAAGATCTGCAAAGAGGAGTGGGACAAAATCCCTCCTGAGATGTCTGCAAACCTGGTGGCCAACTACAAGAAACGTCTGACCTCTGTGATTGCCAACAAGGGTTTTGCCACCAAGTACTAAGTCATGTTTTGCAGAGGGGTCAAATACTTATTTCCCTAATTAAAATGCAAATCAATTCATAACATTTTTGACATGCGTTTTTCTAGATTTTGTTGTTGTTACTCTGTCTCTCACTGTTCAAATAAACCTACCATTAACATTATAGACTGATCATGTCTTTGTCAGTGGGCAAAAGTACAAAATCAGCAGGGGATCAAATACTTTTTTCCCTCACTGTATATATCCATACAAATGATGCCAGCTGATTCATGATTTCGACTGGCTGAGAAATGCTGCCTGCCTGTCTGTCTCGTCCCGACTCACAACACGTTCATTACTATGGGACAGCAGTAGATTGAATTTGAATATTGAAACAATGTTGCAAATGTCGGAGAGACAGACAGCAAGTTTATACAAATCTCCGCTGTTGAAAATTAAATGTTAGTTTAAAAGCTTTTTATAGCGGAGATCAAGTTTATAAATTGCCTGGCTGGGCTGAAGAGACAGTAGATTGCGCAGTCAGATGGAACAGAGTAAATAGGCATTTTAACATCATAGATTTAGCCGGTGGCAACTTGTGGAATAGACAAAGGCTGAAATGCGGTTTTATCCCATCAGCATTCAGGATTAGACCCACTCGTTGTATAAATTGTATGTTGTAGGCGTCTATAACTTTCTCACTCATCATTATTCACGATTAATTCAGGATTATCTGTCATCATGGTTGCATCCATATTCATGTAGAAGTGGTTAGAAACATATTATATTCTTATTTACAATAAAAGTGACCCCAAAATGACACAATACATTATTTACCATTAATTTCTAATGGGCACAAAATAATCTGAAACACAACCAAAACAAACAGCAAACACTAGTCACTTTAATAATGATTACATACAGTTATTACTGTATTCTACTGTATTCTAGTCAATGTCACTCCGACATTGCTCGTCCTAATATTTATATATTTCTTAATTCCATTATTTTACTTTTAGATTTGTGTATATTGTTAGATACTACTGCACTACTAGGAACACAAGCATTTCGCTACACCCGCAATAACATCCGCTAAATATGTGTATCCGACCAATAAAATTTGATTTGATTTATGGCGGGCATTGTATATTCCCTACCAGATAGAGGAACACCACATTGGAATGTCATCTAATGTTGTACTTACCAGCCACACACAGGCGATTTGATCAGCTCTGACACACCGAAGGACAGGGAGCCCATGAAGTCGTTCCTGGTGGTCCGGTCCCAGTCCCACACCTCCACAGACAGCCTGCGGTCCTTATCTGTAGGCCTCAGCTTGCTGGAATAACACACATACATATGCACAGGGTTAATGATAATGACTACATTACCCATTATACACAAACGTGAAAGGGGCCTAACACTGTGACCAGGGGTACACCTCAACTCACAAAGTGAAAGACTCGTTCCAGGTGGGGTTGAGGTTGGCACGGATGGTCTTGGTCTTCTTCTTGGTCTCATTCTTGGGGTCTGGGATGAGCTTGAGCTTGACGTAAGGGTCAGACGAGCCGTTGGGGTCCATGGGGATCAGATTTCGACCTTCGCCCACTGATGGAGAAACAATACAGGGGGAAAAGATTGATTTAGAACTAACAGTGGTACAGGTGACATCATTGCTTGTACAGTGGTTTACTTTGAGAGGAGTTAGTGTGGTCTTTATAAAGTGACCTTGTAACAGCATGATGGATTTAATAATGGGCATGGAAATTCAAAAATCAGGGGACATTTTATAAAAATAACCCATATGCAGACAGCATAGAAACCTGCTAGAGACGGTTATACAGTATGTGTGCTGTTGTTACTATTTCAGTAGTACCAGCATCCCTGTCTCCTTCCCTGTGGTCCTGTGTTTAGCCATGTTCAGTAAACAGCTCCCAGACACCAGGGACGTTAGCACTCCATTAGCACTCTGGCTCCCAGAGCCACGGAACACAGCCAACCACTGCACATTATGCAGGGCATCGCCACAGAGAGCGACAAACTGAACGCCTGCCTGGCCAGGCAAGCCCTTAAGCACAGGAGACCCGGAGACAGCTTCTCATGTGGTCCTGTCAATCAAATACTGGCCCTGACATAATGGCGCGGTGGTGATAATAATGCTAGATTGACCTTTGACCCAGAAAAAGAGCAGATAAGCTACTAGAGTAAAACTGCATAATGGATGCTATTTTGGCACCCTGTGTTGATAGGGTAGAGTAGAGTAATAGAGTCTTTATTATCCCCGAGGGGCAAACCATTTTGCAGCACATAGTAAAAACACAATGAACACATGACAATAAATACACACAAAAACTATATATACAGCAATATGTACACAGGAAGTAGACCTCTAAACCAGGCATGAATAGAGTCAGTCCATACCTAATAACACAGTACTACAGCTTATTGAGAAAGTTGATAGCAGCTGGCATGAAGGAGAGTTTTGACCTTTACATTTAGAGAGCCTGTATCTTCGCTTTGAGGAAAGCAACAGAATTTCATCAAAAAGGGGATGCTGGGAGTCCCAATTGATCAATATTAAAGAAACTGTAACTATAGTAATTCTATTAAGATATAGTAATTATATTAAGCTATAGTAATTATATTACCTAAATCAATTTTTAACTATAAGTAATTATATTTCCCTCATAACACCAAACGTATTGAAAATTAAACCTGTACTGTATCATATCGTATGAGCCATTGATAGTTCTATTTACATAACAAAGAGGCTACATATTTGCCTCTGGGATTGTCATATGAGAGTGAATTAAGTTACGAGACAATTCGATAAGCCATGTGCAAATAAGCTTTTAACTTGCTTCTGTCTGTTCCTCCCCCTTGCACCTGTGCTGGAGGATTTTGGGGGTTAATCTTGTTTGGATAGCGGGTGATGGAGTATGCTGTCAGAGGTGAGAGAGGGCTGGAGGGGGAGAATACTTCATTGGGAGAGACAGGGGCTTTGTGCCCTACATAGTGCACTACTTTTGACCAGAGCCATATAGGGAATAGGGTGCCATTTGGGACTCAAGGCAGCAGCTCCTCTTCCTGGGGTCCAAACAGGGTTAAAACAATTACATCACAGCAAAACACAACAGCCTACATCATAAAAACATCAATACATCATACCAGAAATCATAATTACATCCCACCGCTGCCACCAAATGCCATTCCTGGCAGGACAATGCATATCAGAGGAGATGGATAACCACAAGCAGACAAACGTATTCGCAACCAGGCTAACTCGCAACTAACCTGCTAATGGAACTAGGCTGGGATGGGGGAATAATGTATTGAAGAAAGCTAGGATGTGTCTCAAAATGGCACCTTATTCCCTATACAGTGCACTACTTTTGACCAGGGTCCTATAGGCCCTGGTCAAAAGAAGTGCACTATATAGGGAATAGGGTTCCATTTGGTACAGACCCATTCTTGCCTACACTTGGCTAGGTAAGGAACCTGTTCCTCCAGGCCTCTCTGAAGCATGTGCGATGTCATTATAGCATAACTCTTTGTCATGCAATATTGACAGTAGGTAAAATATGTGAAGATACTATCTTGATATCTGTTTCCAAAGTGTATAATGTCCTAGAAATGAATTCACACCTACAAACCTATGAGAATACATGTGTACTGCCCAGTTTTGTAAATACCAGTTAATTATTGCATCCAGTATACACATACTGTATGAACATACAATGTACAGACACATTCAATAGGCTTATGTTTATACTATAGTTTCATTGGTATAAATACAATACACAACATCTCCATATAGGTCCAAGGTAACATACTAAAATGTAGAGGTGACCAATGACCATAACCTTTACTACAAACAATTTATTCAAGGACCCGACTTTAACTGTCACAATACAAAGGTTAGGTTTTGAATATTGTTCCAAATAAAGGTGTAGGCAAAGCACCAGTAGCCTATCCAAGTGAACTTGAATAATGGCCTTAAGTTTTGATAGCGTGGGGGAGGAGACAACAGCATCATATTACCTGGCTGGACTGTGGTGTGTGGACTATGTGAGTGTGCTTGTGTGTAGAACCAACTCCACCAAAAAGTTATTTAACTGCTTGTGTATAACCCATTGTCCAGAAAATAATATTGTTAACTCAAATTTGAACAAACCCTCGTGTTCTCTTTAAAAACTAAACTCCATTTCCATTAGTAACCAGTAGGAGGAACCCTAGACCTTCTAATAGACTGTCTGTCTGCGCTGCTTGCATCTGACTCTATCCTAATAGTTGTACAACATGCTGCCTACCACCTGATGATCTTCACACAATACATGGAGATTTCTTTGATAGAATTACAGTTGGTCTTGTATAATCTACAGTATTTAATTTTAGAATATGTGCATAAAAAGCCTTATTTTAGTGGACTGACACATTGGTTGCGTATCACACGTCTCCGACAATTGTATCTCCTACAAGTGTACAAGAGTATCTCCTACAAGTGTACAAGAGTATCTCCTACAAGTGTACAAGAGTATCTCCTACAAGTGTGTGTGGGCGTGTCAGTCAGTGACTGAGTCCTTATTGACACGCTGGGACGTGAATGGGGGAAGAGGCCTCAACGCCACCGTTACCTTGGATACCAGAGTCTCGAGGACAGTCTCCTTATAAAAAGTGCCTTGGATTCAAAAGAACAGGCATTTGTTACGTGATTTATGCTGACCTTGTCTGAGTGGGTGCAATATATTGAGTGATAGACGGAGATATAGCAGAAGAAGTGAGTCAGATAGAATTGTGTTGGTTAGAACTGTACTTCTCATTCTCCTTTCAGACTGTTTTTCTCTTTCAGTACATGGGTTTGTACTTTGTACCAAATCAAATCATATTTCGCATACACATATTTAGCAGATGTTATTGCGGGTGTAGCGAAATGCTTGTGTTCCTAGCTCCAACAGTGCAGTAATATCTAACAATACACACAAATCTAAAAGTAAAATAATGGAATTAAGAAATACAGAAATATTAGGAGCAACGTTAGAAATGATGATATCTAAATGTTTCTAAAACTTGCTTCTTTGCAGGAGTTTTCCAACAATTCTGCAGTTGTCCATACAGCACCTATCTTTCACTATTGGTTCTAAATCTAATGGAACTAATGCATAAACAGTAGAAGATGAATGTCAAATGTAAAGAGGTCAGGGAGTGAGGCACCAATGTCAGAACGACTGGGCTGGATAACGGGGGATAATTTGAGCTTTAGGATACAGTTGTTTTTCTGAAACCATAAGAAGAGGGGTGGGTCTGTTAGTCAGTCACCAAGTTCACAGGGGTGGGGGTCAAAGGGAGGGAGGGAAAGGGTGTGTGTGTGTGTGTGAGAGAGCGAGAGAGAGAAACAGAGATGGTTGCGTGTGTGTATACTCACAGACACAGAAACTGACTCACTTATTTATTCAAAATAAATAACAGTCTGTTTGCGTACGAGTCTGTAGCCTGTCAACTATGTGTCTGTCTATCCCTGTTCTCTCCTCTCCGCACAGGCCATACAAACGCTTCACACGGCGTGGCTGCTGCCACTCTAATCTGGTGGTCCCTGCGCGCATGACCCACGTGGAGTTCCAGGTCTCCGGTAGCCTCGGGAACTGCCGTTCTGCGACCAACAAGGCAGAGTTCATCTCAGTCTATGACACCCTCCAGTCCCTCGACTTCTTGGCGCTGACGGAAACATGGATTACCACAGAAAACACTGCTACTCCTACTGCTCTTTCCTCGTCTGATCATGTGTTCTCGCATACCCCAAGAGCATCTGGTCAGCGCGGCGGAGGCACAGGAATCCTCATCTCTCCCAAGTGGACATTCTCTCTTTTCCCCCTGACCCATCTGTCTATCTCCTCATTTGAATTCCATGCTGTCACAGTCACTAGCCCATTCAAGCTTAACATCCTTGTCATTTATCGCCCTCCAGGTTCCCTTGGAGAGTTCATCAATGAGCTTGACGCCTTGATAAGTTCCTTTCCTGAGGATGGCTCACCCCTCACAGTTCTGGGTGACTTTAACCTCCATATGTCTGCCTTTGACTCATTTCTCTCTGCCTCCTTCTTTCCACTCCTTTCCTCTTTTGACCTCACCCTCACACCGTCCCCGCCTACTCACAAGGCAGGCAATAGGCTTGACCTCATCTTTACTAGATGCTGTTCTTCTACTAATCTCACTGCAACTCCCCTCCAAGTCTCCAACCACTACTTTGTATCCATTTTCTCTCTCGCTCTCCTCCAACACTACTCACTCTGCCCCTACTCAGATGGTAATGTGCCGTCGCAACCTTCGCTCTCTCTCTCCCTCTACTCTCTCCTCTTCCATCCTATCATCTCTTCCCTCTGCTAAATCCTTCTCCCTCCAATCTCCTGATTCTGCCTCCTCAACCCTCCTCTCCTCCCTCTCTGAATCTTTTGACTCTCTATGTCCCCTATCCTCCCGGCCGGCTCGGCCCTCCCCTCCTGCTCCGTGGCTTGACGATTCATTGCGAACTCACAGAACAGGGCTCCGGGCAGCCGAGCGGAAATGGAGGAAAACTAGACTCCCTGCGGACCTGTCATCTTTCCACTCCCTCCTCTCTACATTTTCTTCATCTGTTTCTGCCGCTAAAGCCACTTTCTACCACTCTAAATTTCAAGCCTCTGCCTCTAACCCTAGGAAGCTCTTTGCCACCTTCTCCTCCCTGCTGAATCTTCCTCCTCCCCCCCC